ACATCTGCAACTTACACACAACCACAGATGAGATCCCACCTCCCTCCCCCACATCTGCAATTCACACACAACGACAGATGTGAGAAGGGACTTGGACAAACCATGGTCCTCAGACACTGCAGCTGAGGATGTAAAACAGTACCATCACCTCAGAGACAGTGTGAAATAAAAGCTGGACATAAATATGTCCTCCAACCCAGCAATTTCCTCTCAGTGTTTATACCATCTATAAACGCAGTCGAAATCATCACAGGGTACACTAAGTGAGCAAATGTTAAGGGCTCCTCCAAGACAATGAATAAGGAAGCAGGAAGAATTAAAGCTTTAACATTGTAGTGTTAGAGAAGAAGACTGAATACACCATCCACTGCCAAAGACAAACAAGTCAGTGGTGGAAGCGGAGAGGCCAGAAAGCTCCCCAGAAACGGGGAGGACCAGGCTTTTCTCTCGCACTCTGGCCCTGCTGGCAGAAAGGACCAATCCCTGAAAAAGAGCATCACGCCGGCCAAAGAAAGGTCTGTGGACAAAAGGAGGGTGCCCCAGCGAGATGGACCGACCCGCGCTGGCAGCAGTGGACTCCTGCACAGCCACGGCTGGGACGCTGCTTCAGGACCAGTGGGTCTCCCTCTGCTCTGGGGGGGGGGGTCACTACAGGTAGGAGAGTAGGAGCAGAGTAGATAGCACGTAACAACAACCAGGATAGATGACAAACATGACCACACAGTCCTCTGTACACACATGTCCACGGCACCATTCCACAGCAGAAATATCCAGAGTAGAGCCGTCAGCTGCTGGAGGGTAAGGAAACACGGCATGTCCACAGTGACTACTGCTCGGCCGTCAGAGAAAGGGGCTGCTGACAGGTGCGGCACAGGTGGAGCCCAACCCTGCGCTGAGAGAGAGAGCGTGTCCTGTAGGACTCCACTTATACACAGTGTCCAGACAAGGGGATTGGACACCAATACCTAGTAGACTAGTAGTTGTCTGAGGTCAAGGGGGAAGAGGGACAATAACAAATGGGCATTAGGATCTTCCAAGGGTGATGGAAACAGTCGAAAGTTGGATTGTGGGAATCTCTGCACAATTCCGCAAACTCAACAAAAATCACTGCATTGAATACTTAGGTGAATTTTAAAACATGCAAATTCTATTTCAAGGATCCCTTTGTGGTGTAGTACGTGTTTGCTCCTGAAAGGTTGGAAGTTCAAATCCATCAGCTACTCAGAGGCAATAGGGTTCCATGACTCTCTGTATCAGATCTTCCCAATTCCCAGGAGGGCATTTTCAGTCACTCTATTTGCCCTGGACCACCATCAAAGGGCTGATGGCTGGGCCACCTCGTGATAATGGCAGAACTGCTCCCAGACCAGGCGCCAGCTGGGCAGCAGAGCAGCTCTGTATGTGACAAACGGCCATGTTCCCAGCATCCCCACCCGAGGGCGACTGCGGTCAGCACAAAGCCAGATCCCTCGCAGCGCGCCCAGGAGCTCCTGTGTCACTGGAGAGAAGTGTCACCTGGCGACCCTCCGCAGACAGGGGTGCTGGCTCACCTGAAGAGCAGGGCCACCCCCTCATGCAGGGCTGAGGAGCCTGCATTTCACGGAGAGGCAGGAGCCTGCGCACTCAGGGCGAGGTCCTTCCCGGCCTCCTGTCCACCACCGTGAGCGCCGACACAGCGTCTCCGGTGCATGGTCACAGCTCGGCTGTACCTGACTCCCCTCAGGAGGGACTACGTCTCACGTGTGTCCTCCAACACAGCACTAGGCTTCACCAGCGCCCCTCGGCGGTGGCTGGCCCCCAGCCACACCACACCACCTCTTCCCGACTGGTCCCTGAAGTGAGAAGATGCTCTTCCAAAGGCGAGTTCCTCACATCTTCAATCTTCAACCTGACCTCTGTCACCCAAGGTAAGCTCACATCCTCCTGCCATGCCCTCACTGCACGTGGCTTCTGTGACCACCTCCACCCCTCATTTGCTTTAGTCAGATCACCCCAATCCCCTCAAAGTCAAGGTGCCATTGGCCCACCACCACCTTGACCACATCCTTCAGGTGACTCCAATCAGTCAGCACCTCTCTCAAAACTTGGCATGAATAGTGCCCTTGCAGGCTGGCCCTGAATGTGTGCTTGTGGTGAAGCTGGTTTGGGTGGCTCTGCTGCCTGCACACCCACCCAGTCAAGTGTTACCTGTCAGCGGACAAACCCAAGTCCATGGCCTTCAAGTCAGTTCAAACTCCCCAGAAGAAAGATGTAACCATCTGCTTCCGTTATGGCCTTGGAGACCCTGAAGGCTGTTCTGGTCAGTCCCCGCCCTGCAGCCATGGGCTCCACATTACCACTGCCCTCCGGGATTCAGCCTATGCTAAGTTCCAACATTTCAAAGCATCACCAGATCAGAATACCTCCAGCTCCACTGTAACGGCCTCCCAAAACACTCCACAGATTGACAAATACTGAGAAGCTTTCCACAAACGAAATCATGGCGTCTGCAAAAACAAAACTCATGAGGCGGCCTCAGAAAAGCTTGTTCCGAAACAGGCGCAGCGGCTCCTGGCCTCCAGTGGCCCCTCCGTGGACTCACCTTCACGTGGCTGAAGTCGCCCGTCTTGCTGCTCTCAGGAGGGTTGGCGGGTTTGCTGTCCACTCGGGGCCGGACAACCTGCCTGAAAGGACTGGAGAGCGGGAAGCCACTGACGCTGATCCCATCTGACAAAGAGGAAGTGAAATATAAAGTTAGCTCGCTGCGTTAAACTGAGGGTGTGTTTCTGTTCTGTTCTGAAATACAGTAACTGAAACCACACCCCTGGTTTCTGTCTTTACTTGGTTTTACTGGTTTATATACAATCATTTACACACATTGTGCTCATTCGTGTACACTTTTTTACACTCTCATTCAATAACTACACAGTTATAGAAAACCGGTTTTATGTAATTAGTCACTGTCCTCTTCCTCGTCTCCTACCCCCTTCTCCCTTTTGCACAGTTACATCCTGTTCCTATTACCACTGTCACCTCCTCAAGTCCTCCCGCTGGTCCTCCCTTGTCCTGATCTTGTACAGTGCTCAGTGACTGGACATTGCAAGACTATGCAAAGAGACAAAAGCATATTTTCAGCAAATGGTGCTGGGACAAATGGGCATCCAAACAAACAGAAATCTAGACATACACATTACACCTCTCAAAAAATGAACTTATTCATTTCTGTTAAGGGTGATGGGGGGGGGGAATCTTAAGGATAAGACTAAAGGGCAGGATTTTCCCAAAACCAAAACTCTGAAAGCAGGAAGGGCAATGAAAGCTGGACGCAGGAAGCATTAACAGAGGGACACCCGGAAGGCAGCAGGACGAGTGTGCTTACATAGAGGGGAGTGTAACCACGGCCACAGAGCAAAATGTGCACGAATCTTTCAGTGGGATACTATTGAGCTCAATAAACTCATCCAAACTGTGACAAATTTTAAAAACTAATAATAAAGTCAATGATCGGGCATGACAAATTTAATTAATGTCACTCACCTGTACACATGAAAACTGTTGAAATGGCAAAAAATTTGCTACTTATATATTATCACAATTTGTTTAAAAAGGAAATTTTTAAAGGATCAAAGACTTAGATATAAAATGAAAAACTGTAAGTGTGGTGTTAGCCTAAAGTTGGCTTTCCTGGTCATTATGTTAGCCCCCTCTGGTCTCAAGCTACCTTAACTGCCGACATGAGGTTTTGCACATCATGAAGAGCTGTAGGACTAGGATAAGCAAAAAAGGGTTTCCCACACTGAGCTGCAAGACTTGAGGGAGACTGGAGCAAGACCTTGGTGAGAGCAAGAACCTGATGGAAAGACCCTGGTGATGGTGGAGAGACTATGGCATTGCTGTAGAGAAACTGTAGCAGAGAGTAACCAGAGGAGCTCTGAGATAAAGCTCACCATTAAAGGTTCTGCTGTTCTTGTCGGATGACTGAAGGAGAAGCTGATTTTTAATAACTCTGGGGCAAAGCTTACCGACAGAGGAATAACAGAGGAAACCAGAAGCTTCTTGAATTTGTGTTTCTGAACCAGGGCTTTTACTAACTAAGGAATTGTGTTTTGCTGTTAATCTGGCTGCTGGGTTAAATCTTGACTTGTACTGTGAGATACTCTGACTCTCCCACTCCCCAGCCTCTATCCCTAATAAACCCCACTCTGGTACCACAGCAATGAGTAAAGCCTCCGAGTCAACAACAAATATCGAATCCATATGACTGACTGGTAGAAACAGACGCAAAAGTATGGCGGGTGGCATTTCTGAGGGAGCTGTTGTCCTTCTGTTGTTGTGGACGTTACTGATGAGGACAGTTCTCCTACATGAAGCATGCAAAAGTCAGACTTGGCTACACGCATGTCTTTTCTGCTCGATTCACAGTAAGACTTCTAGAAGATAACAGTGGGGAAAGTCTAGGTGACCTTGGGTTTGACAAAGACTTTTTAGATATAACACCAAAGGTGCAACCATTAAAAGGGAGACTTGGTAAGATGGACATCATTAAAATTAAAACCTTCTGCTCCATGAAAGACACTGTTAAGAAAATGAAAAGACAAGCTATTGGCTGGGACAAAGTATTTACAAAACACATTTCCCACAAAAAACCTAAAGTATACAGACAATTTTCAAAATACAACATTAACAAAAATTTAAAAATCTAAAATAAAAAGGGGGCCAAAGAGCTGAAGAGATCCCTCACCAAAACAGTATATGGGCAGCAAACAAGTACATTTCAAAATGCTATCGCTGACATGGCAATTTGTTACGAGGTGTTATCGAGTGGGTCCTACTCAGACTGCAACTTTCAAACATGGGCAAACTATCAAAAAGGCATCTTAGATGCAGCTTGCTAAGTGAAAGCTGGTCTATACGATTCCAACTGTATGACATTCTGGAAAAGACAAACCACAGAAACAGTGACATGATCTCTGGTCACCAGGGATGGAGACAGGTGACCAGGCAGCATACAAGGCATGTTTAGGGCTATGAAACTACTCTGTAACACAACAGAAAATGGACAGGAGAGGGCACTCGTCAAAATTCAAAACACAAAGAATGAAGTCTAATGTAAACTACAGACTTTTTTTACGTTAATAATAATGTCTCAACACTGGTTCAACAAACGCATGACTCCAATTAAAGCTGCTGATATTGGGGAAGCTATGGGGGGCAGCTGGGGGAGGTATTTAAGGAGCTGTGGTACTTTCTGTTAAATTTTTCACAAACCAAATAGCCTATTAATTTTCAAAAGGAAGTTAAGTGCCAGAAGTCAAGCTGTAGTGCTCTCACAAGCCAAAGAGGAGACCATGTGAACATGAGAAAAAGGAGAGTAATCACAACTGGCTGGAACTCATCGTACACTTTAAATCTACCTGTTCACAATAATAAAAAACAAGCACATTTTAAACCTTAATTCCTTATCCAAAAACTGGTAAACAAAATAACAGAAGCAAGCATTTAACCTTCATTACCTAGATGAACTGCAACAATGGGTAAGAAGATAGACAATACATACAATGTCTCTTTATAAAAGGATCAAACAAATAAACTGACAAGACGTGATACAGGGAGAGTAATACCATTTTGCCATCTCTGTTTCCAAAAGAGAGTCCTCAGGAAAGCAGTAGGCTAGAAATCAAACAACGTATTGACTGGGAAAAGGTGCTGCCTCGGACTTCTTCCAGGTAGTCAGGAGAAAGCGTGCCACCATACAGTAGAGTGTGCCTATAACCCAAGCCACGCAACTCCCCACGCCCAACAGATGGACAAAAGTTGGACAATGAATAAGGAAGACTGAAGAAGAACTAGCATCTTGGTGTTGAAGAATATGGAATATATAATGTCAAAAGAACAAGTCTCTTGGAAGGACTTTGGAAATTCTCTTCCCTGTGACAACCATCTCTGCCATCTGTTCCTATTGTTCAGACTGTTGAGTCAGAACCGACGCTTTGCTGGCCTCCAGTGGGTTTTCAGAGGCGGCAAATCACACAGGAGGAAAGTGCTTGTCTTTCTCGTGTAGAGCAGCTGGTGGATTCAAACCATGTTATCTTTCGGTTGGTAGGGCAATTCCTTACCACTGAGCTACCATCTCACTACTCCAAATTCTCCACTCAAGAGCCTCTCTTCCCTGCCTTCTCTAGCTTCCCTAGGAAGCTGTCCTTCATCGAGGTGCCAAGTCCTTCTTGTCTAGACCTGGTGCTGACAACCTGGAGACTAACAGAGCCCTCAGGCAGGTCTATGGTCAGGGTCAAGGAAAGGCCTGGGCTTGAATCTTGGTCCTTCCACTATGTGGTTGTCAAAGTGCTTAATCCCTTTGAGCTTTCAACTCTCCATCTTAAACAGGGTTAAAAAGGACACATAAATCCTGGCTATCTAAGAGACTGTATGAGGGAATGCACACTCAGCTTTGATCACAACGTACAGGGTCTGACAATGAGATACAGCAAGCATGCAACAAAACTGCTACTCCCACGACTTGTCGCATACATTTAATGTGCCACACACAACAATCATCATTATTCGGTAAACAAATGAAGCTGGAGATAGAATGATTGAATTTTGTACAATCAATGACTTATTCATTGCAAATACATTTTATAAGAAACATAAACGCAGATTATACACATGGACTTCACCTGATGGTATGCATAGGCATCAGATCGATTACATCTGTGGAAAGAACCGCTGGAGAAGCTCAATACAGCTGTGAAAACTAG